GGTGTTGGTTAGCACCACTATAATTTAATTTTTTTTTTATTTTTTTTAATTTTTGAAAACAGCCCAGAACCCCCCTTTGGGGGGAGATGGGCGGGGACAAGCCTGATAAATAAATAAATAAATAAATCAATCAATCAATCAATCAATCAATCAATCAATCAATCAATCCTCACTGGAAGCCCCAATCATTAGTCCATTCTAGATGGTGTCCAATAGATACAAAAAACAATGTTTTGATGGATTAATTTCAACTATAAAGGACAGGACATAAACTTGAGACTGTTGGTTTGAAAGGATTGGAATTTCCAATTCTTGATCCAAGCTTCTTATATATTTGTTACAGATATTTTGAACTGCTCCCTCAGCTTTTGACAGAAAAAAAAAAGTAGGTTTAGATTCTAAAACTGAATTCTTTTCAGGTATTTTAGAAGCTGCTAAAGTGTGAAGTCCATATTAAGCTGTCAAAACATGCTTTTGTCATGACCTGGATTTTTGTTGTTTGCTTGTTTTATTGCTGATGCTTTATAAGGTATATTCACTGCCTAAAGTTTGATTGAATAGATGGCAGCCTTACACATTTATTAAATAAAAGTAATAAATAGATTTTATTGCTGCATTAATGCTTGGTTACATGTGCCCACTCTGTGAAATAAAGACTCCATCAATGAACTGGAGGATTTCTACTGGGGTTACCTCAAATTGTGCAAATCTTACCCTTTGAAAATCCCTAACTTTGGCTTGAAAAATGATTTACTAACTACAACTGCTTGTTACCTTCAACCAATGTACCAGCTAAATCTATATTTTCACCATTTAGTGCTAACTCCTCATATTATGGAAAGAATTATAAATGCTCATAAAAAGCCCTTTACAACAATGCTCAAAACAGCTGCCTGGAGAATACACTACAAATAATCTAATGATTACACTCTTGGTAAAAGAAAACAGAAATAAACTTTTGTTGACAAAGCATTTTAATCCACTCTTTTTATTAAATTCTCCTTTTTGTTCAAATCAGGCCTCATCATGATGATGTAGCATATGGGGAAAAAGACACAAGCCAGGAGCCCACCACTGGAGGCCAAGATGGAGAAGATCTCCACAGCCACCACGTATTTCCCTTTGGTGCTCATGTAGGCAGGGACAAAGGACAACCACACACTGCAAAACACCAACATGCTGAAAGTGATAGATTTAGTTTCCTGGAAGGTGTCTGGTAACTTCCTGGCCAAGAAAGCTACAAAAAAACTGACAATAGCCAGGGAACCCATAAAAGACAAGACACAATAAAACATGACAACTGACCCTTCTTTGCATTCCACAATGATTTCAGTCATGGAGGAGTGCATATCAAAGTCTAGGAAAGGGGGTGAGATTCCCAGCCACACAATACAAAGAAGAGTTTGAATAAGGAAGCAGGAGAGCACAATGGAAAGGGCTAGTCTTTTTCCAACCCATGTCCTTATCTTTGATCCTGGCTTGGTGGCCATGAAAGCAAGAATCACAGTCATGGTTTTGGCTAAGATACAAGAAATAGATACTGAGAAGGTGACTCCACTAGTAGTCTGGCGAAGGAGACATGTCACTTTCACTGGACACCCAACAAAAAGTAAACTAGAGAGGAAGGAAAGGAGGAGGGAGATAACAAGTGTGTAGGAAAGGCTGCGATTGTTGGCCTTGATAATGGGAGTGTCATGGTACTTCCCAAAGATTCCTAGCACAGAAATTGTGAGGAAGGAAAGCACAAGAGCTACTGTAGTTAAGCTGGTGCCCAATTTTTCTTCATAAGAGAGGTAGCTAATATATTTTGGAATGCATGAATCATGGTCTTTATTTGGATAGTGATCATCTGGGCACTGAAAGCAATCATCCATGTCTGGAAGACAAATATATATAGAAAATAATAATAAAAAATGGTTGGGAATGAACCAGTCAGAGGATTATGATTTAAAGACACATATTATAAGTTTATTTTAAGTGAAATGATGTAGTGCCCTCATGTGAACTCCATTTCATCTTTTTATGCAAGACTATTATTATTAGTAGAATTCTATTAAGAAGCATATATGTGTCAAATATATTTATGAATTCATCCTACAGTGGATTTTTGTGGTGGAGAGGGAAGAGATATGTCAACATTTGTTGGTTTTCAGCTGATACTTGGAAAAGCTTCAAATGTGGTTCAGACAAAGGAGTCAAAGCCTTTGTAGAAGAGGTATTCAATATACCTCCTAAACACTATTTTCACAACCTTCTAGCTTACATTAAATCACAAGAATGAAATAATTTTAAAGTGAAAATGACTTGTTCATAGATTCCTCTTTTTCCAGCAGAAATAGGTCTACTCAGTTGTGAAAAGTTGTACATGTTTAGGAAAATGGGTGTTTATATTTACCGTGATGTCTATATGCTGAAGGATATCCAATATTTTTCAGAACATCTTACCTGTCTGATTTGAGATTTTTCCCTGAGGACATGGAATGCAATCATAGCAGCAAAATGGTTTTCCTTCTAATTTGGTCTTTCTGTAACCTGAAGGGCAGTAATCATTACACAGGGAGAAAGGTGTCATCTGCCCATGAAAGAAAGAAAAATGTGTTGACATTTTGTAAGTAATATTCAAACATTATGTTTGCAACATGTTGAGATCTTGGTGCTGTAAAGTACCTATCCACTCTCCCTGACTCAGCTGAATTTGTAAGCAGAAACATGAATAATTGCAGGACCATGAATTATGTAAGTGATGTGATCAGGCCAAGAGGAAGATGTACAAATTGAAATGCGTATGTCTGATTCCTGTAGACTCTTCCTCACTATGCCTATGAACTAGATGTTTCAGCTTTTGCTGGAGATGGTCCGCATGGGTCACCTAAATTCTTAATAATGATTTTATGAGTCTTACCTACTTTAAATAGTACCACAGACCATTTGTTTCAAGACCTATCATGCCAATAGTGCAAGATTTCTCAGCAGAAAATCTATTTCTACTGTGTTGGCTTCTGCAGAGCAGAAACAAAGCCTTTTTTGGTTGTATCTCACCTCCACCACAAAACATCCACAGAGAAGTCACCATCCAACAGTTACAGAAGTAGTAATCATGAGTGTTCTAGAGCTGTGAAGATGGTAGATGAGTCTATTCTGTGGTGAGAGTGAATGGTTATTATGCCCAACCTCAGCTATGTATTTATCATGTTTTTGCTATATATTTTTTTGTACTGAATTTATTTAACCACTGTTTTGGATGTTTTCATTTTTTATTGATGTACTCTGCTCAGAGTAACATGTTGGGGGATGGTTTTAGAAATTATTTAAGCAAATTAATTAATTTTTAAAAATCCTTAATTGTAACCAATTGCTTAAGAGAGATTTTTCTCCTCTGACTTCCACATACTGGGGGAAAAAAATGACAGTTTAATATAATGCACTATAAACTATAGAGAGACAATGATGTGAGGAATGGGGAACTTGGAGAACTAGGGAGAAAATTTAAATGCTCCCCAAAAAGAAAAGGTTAACATTGAATAGAAAATGACCAAATCTGATGGAAATATTAAGGGAAAAAATCTGATGAATGTCTTCCAAAGATACTTTTTATTCCAGTAAAACGCAATGCTATTCCAGCAATATTACGTCTCCTTCATATGCTGATGAATGAAGAAATGGATGTAAAAACTACATATATGGTATCTGCAGCCACAGTAACACCTGAATGAGAAAGCATGTATGGTAACATCACAACACAAGGTTTGCTGCATTGAACTTGCAAATTGATGTTTCTTGCCAGGGGGAAAATTTGTTTCAAAATTCATATTTCATAACAACCCTTCCCCCACCCATGCACCCTATACTTGCCCTGCACAAATCATAATCATGTTGGACATACAGTATCTAAAGGAGGACTCGGATCTATATATAATTCATATTGTAGAATAAACAAGGAAAAAAATAGCATATCTTTCAGAATAATCTCTTGAGCATATTAAAAAAGATGATATAAATATACTCATATATTACATTAGCTTAGCTCTTGGTTTGTTTGTTTTTTAAAAAGAGTGAAAAATTATTCAAATGAAAAGTTTGCCACTGTGTTAATGTAACATGACAATCCTTAGAATGTTGGGTAAAAATATTGATTGATGTTGACATGGAATGGTTTCTACCTGATTAAATGGGCTGGGCCAGATGATGTTGTCCTCTGAAATGGTCAGCATTTGGGGTGAGAGCCCTTCTGGATTTATTGATCCAATTTTAACTCTAAGAAAGGACTGGTTTGGGAATGTCACCCAATTTATAATATCATATCCTCCTACAAGTTCACCATTTTCATTAAAGGAAATCTTGTCTCCAGCACTGTTATTAAATGTTACATGCCTCAGAAATTGGAGAAGCTGTAGAGAAAGGAGGAAAAGATGGTGAAAGACATGAGAATGTATATCTTTTTATGAGAGCCTATATTTAATAACTTATAAAACCTTTTTCTGGGATAATATCTTTCGATCTAACAATTTGGAAAGTACAGATATTTACCTATTATATAGAAGAAAGACAAGGAGAAAAAGACTTAAAGGAATGCTCAAATTACAAGTCGATAGACCTAATGCCACATGCCACCAAATTACTGCTGAAAATTCTGCAGAAGAGATTACAGCCTATAGAGAGAGGGAATATTCAGGCTTCAGAAAGAACAGAGGAACACAAGGCCATATAGCTAATATTAAGTGGACAGTGGAAACTGCAAGATGATGCAGAAAAGATCTCTACTTCTGTTTTACAACTCCAAAGTTTTTGACAGTATTGATCATTCAAGACTTTAGAAGATTCTCAGAGTAATGAATATACCTAAACATCTGATTCTTTTCAGAAGAAATCTCTACGTTACCCAGGAGACCACAGTGAGAACTTTATTTATTTATATATTCATTTATTTATATTTCAAATTTAGATACCACCCATCTCACAAAGAAGTGACTCTGGGCAGTTCACAATAAAACAACAATAAATATTAATTAAAATACAATAAAAA